CTCTTCATTTTCCTTCCGAGAAAAGAGTTTGCAAAGAAACAGTCGCAAAGCCCCCATGCCTCGCCAGCTCCCACTCGCCGGGCTGGGCCCCGCTCCGAGAGCCGCAGGAATTTTGCCAGGGCTGCCCTTGCGCTCCAGGCACTTCCCCGGCCCCTCGCTCTGCCGAGGTTGAAGGCAGCTGGCAACTGAAAGCCACGAGAAAGCCCACAGGGGCTTTTCTGAGGTGTTTGTTTGCAATATCAGTGCGGAGGACAAATTTCCACATTGGTCCAGATACTTGACTGAAGAGGGAAGTCTGAAGCAGTCTCATTTCCTTACGGCATTTTCCCCCATTGCACAAACCCAGCCATCCAGTGCTGTGGCTCGGCGCTGTCCTTAGCCGGTCCCCTGCGCTCCCGCTGCCCTGTTCACCAACAGCCTGGCCCAAGGGCATCCAGCCAGCTGGTCCCGAGGGCTGGGGTGTCCCTGAGCTGCGTGGAAGGCGGCTTTTCCCTCCAGGATGCGTGCTGAGGAAGCCTGGGATAAGGCAGCTCCCTCTCCATCCATCTCAAGCAAGGGGAGGCTGCATCAGTGCACCGGCACGGGGATGGCAACCGGTCCCAGGCACCTTCCCACACCGCCTGTGGCCAGGGAGGGCCAGCAACAGAAACGCAGCTGCAGGGAACGGATGGAGAAGCTCTTTTAAAAAAAAACAGAAACTGCACCGTTACAATTTCAGTAGAAATCTGACATATTCAGGGGTGGTTTTTCAAAAAAGCAAGAACAGAGGAATTCCCCCATGGCTGGGTTTGGTTGCTCTTTCTGTCGCTGCTGAAGGTGGGCGTGAGGCAGCATGGGGAAACGGTGCAGGGAGCACACGGGCTCCAGCCCCAGCCCGAGCCACCTTCACCCCAGCCACGTGCCCAGTCCCAGGCTGAGGACAGCGAGGCACAGGGAAGGAAATGCACACCACAGCCTGCACGGGGCGAGGGAAACAAAACCAGAGCCCAGGGAAAGCCCCCGATACCCCACAGGCATGGGGAGGACTTTTGCAGGAAAAACCTGGGGACTATCCCAGGGAAAGCTGTGATGCCTGGGAGCTACGAGGAGGCACGGAGGCTCTGGGGCACAGCACTCTCACCCAACGCCCGAGGTACCCGCAGAGGCACCCACGCGGCGCTGCTGCTATGGGCTGTGCTGGGGACGTACACGGCCAGGGACCTGCTCACCCATCGCCAGGCAGAGAGGAGCAGGGTGATGTCCTACCTGCACGCCAGCCCGGCTCCCACCTCACGGCCCCTGGTTCTGGAAAGGCACATAGCCGCTCCCCGCCCCGCTCAGCGAGCCACTGATGCTGAATGGCGGCATCAGCTCCACAGCCACCGCGCCCAGCCTGCTGCAGGGAAGGCAGAGGTGTCAGCCAGGTGCCTGCCCCCCCTCCAGCCCTGGCCAGTCTGTGGTAGGTGCTGTCCCCAGGCAGCCGGGGCACCCCAGGGTACCTGTCCTGGGGAGGCAGCGCCTGCAAACAGCAGAGCTCAGGTGGCTCGGGACTGGCAAGGGTTTGCGACAGCTCAGCACCATGCTAAGGGAGCATCCAGCCCCCCCCCAGGTCCCTGCATGGCCTCACTCACCTGGTGGGGTAGAGGTTGAAGACAAAGTCAGGCCCTGGAGAGGCGGGAAGGAAAGGTGTCAGAGCCGTGTGGTGCCAGGAACTCGCCTTCGCTTTGCTGCAAGACTGTGCAGCATCGTGGGGATGGGCAGGACAGCCAGCTGCACCAGGACATCGCCGTGCATACCCCTCCTCGGCCCCTGCGTGCCCCCAAGCCACGCTGCACGCAGGTTTCCCGAGCCCAGCAAGTGTCAGGCATGCTCTCCACATCCCGGGACCTGCAGCCCTTTTCTTCCGAGCCCTCCCTGCCCCGCTGCTGCCTGTCCCCCTGCTCTGCCCGTACTCACGGCACCAGCACTGACCCCTCCGGTACCACCGGATGAAGGCGTAGCCAAAAAGCACCAGGATCAGCAAGGCCAGCCCGACACCCAAGACAACACCGATCACATCGATGGGCTCTGGCCCTGCAAAGCAGAGGGAGAAGGGGCTCTGCAAACAAACACCTCTGGGAGGCTGGGGCATCTGGTCATGCCCCGGGGGGGACAGGACGGCTGTGGGGCTGGAGTACATCCCTCCACCCTGTGCTGTCCCTATGGCATGGAGGGACTGCGCTCCGCAGGGCTGTTGAGCGTTATGGCACAGAGATTTCTGCTACCCCAAAGCCCCGTGCTGGAGCCTTGTCATCTTGGTCACACAGCCACCTCTTCTGCTGCCCCCAGGTGAGCTGGCAGGTGGGACAGTGACCTGGGAAGGGAGCCCAGAAGGGAGCATGGGCAACCCACTGCCCTCCACCTACACGGGAAGGGAAGGGTTGTAAACAGGAGCCCACATTCCCCATAAGCAGGATCCCCTGCTATTCCCAGTCCTGGCCCCACCGGGAGCTCGCCCAGACCCCAGGCACCTTTTCGCTGTGCCCGGGGCCCATCACATTGTGTTGGAGGCGGGGAGCTGGCCGCCCTGACCATGCCTGTATCCCCAACTCCTGGTCCCACGCGTGCTCTTCTGGGATGAAGCGCC